AAAAAAAAAAAAAAAAATAGCGAATCGGTAAAAATATTGCAAATTTCCGACTAAAATCTTGAGAATCGACTCCTTGTATTACATCATACTCATTGCTCATCTGACTTGGAATTCTCGTTCTTATTGAGATTGTTTCAAATCTTTTTTTTCCGCATAACTGATAATGCTGTTGCAGGGACAACGGTAACAGATTTTATGGAATTGGAACGTGAACGAGGGATCACCATACAATCTGCAGCGATCACACTGCTTTGGAGGAAGCACCGGATCAATTTGATTGATACACCTGGACATGTCGACTTCACTTTAGAAGTATGCATCGAATGTACAGAACAAGTTTTGAGAATGCGAAAAACACGCATATGGAACATCCTCACAAAATTTCAGCTTTCTGTTCAATGTGGGCACCAAAACTGAGGTTCTGTTTTGCGCGTAACGCGAGGCCTGAGCGGATCCAGGACGGAGACCTTGGAGGGGAGGGGCAAGGGGGATGGGGAGCAGAGTCCCCTCCCGCCTTAGAACCATGCAAAAACTAGGAATAGAGTTGTAACACACTGCTACTTAGAGTTACTTTAGGCTTTTGTTTACTTTAGTTTTAGCTTTGGTCCCGGGCTATTGCAGCACTGATGCCTGCCCTCTCCCCCTCCCGCCCCCCCCCCCTGCTCTTTCTGAATCCACCTATGATGACACATTTTATTCAAATTTATGCATTTGATGTTTTCAGAACTGTGCTAATCTCCGTACGCATACACTTAAATGCTTGTTACAGCGGGCGTAAAAAACCTGGCTTTTTTTTGGATACAATTATGGCTCTATAGCAAAATACCACAGGGCGCATCTACAGTGGCTTGGATGTGTGTGCGTGTGTGTGTGTGTGTGTGTGTGTGTGTGGCCAAGTTCTATGCTTTTATAGTCCAACTGCAAAAACAAATATTTTGACTGTATGTTGCAGGTAGAAAGATGCTTACGAGTGTTGGATGGAGCGGTCACTGTTCTGGATGCATCAGCAGGTGTGCAGGCACAAACAGTGACTGTATGGC